TTGGCCAAAAAACATAGAACTGTGACAAGAATCCATCCATGAATACTGCTACTCAGTCCTTTTCAGTTTGAATTCTGTTGGTATTAAAATCCTCAACTTTTTTGCTTAAGGGTTATACAGTGAAGCCACCCTTGCAATGTCTTTTTGTTTTTGACTTATTTCTGTGTTTTATCTGGCCTGAGTCATAAACCCGGGTCATGGCGAATACCTGGTACATTTCCATAGGTCACCGTATTGTGTATTATATCAATACACATATTATATGGCATGTAATATCAGAGGTTGCTGAATTAGTCGATGTGCGCGGACTAGAAGACTCATCCTTGACCTGGGTTAGGGATTTGACTGTACAGTTATTGAAATAATTCACAATGTACTAGATACAGTTTACCTACACGATACAAGATATTTAACCATGTACACAATACAGTAAATCGTTAGATTGATAAATTCATTGTCCCATTATGTTTACAACAGATAAAGTTAAAATATGTGGTGAAATTCCTGCAATCTTTACACTCACCTGTTTTGAGTACAGCTCCTGTTCATGTGCATTTAGTCTATACACCTTAATACCTTAATTTGCATATTAATAATAGGCTTTTCTCGCAGTAGTTGCAGTGAATAGCTGTGTTCAGTCACCAGGGCAATATACTGGAATATATTATGAATAGTGACCTGTATTATATTAGACACATTCTTCACCTCTTGTAACATTTCCACGTTCAACATCGCATACCACGTGATGAAGTTGACATATTCTTGCATGATTATTCTTTATGTTTATCAGCTTATTTTTTGAATGAATGAATATAAATGAATAAATAAATTAATTCGAGATTCTAGTAAACGTCGTAAATAGCCATACTATAAATAGACCACATACCACGAAGCATGTTATGGTTGAGATAGCATCTGTGCCAGTGAACAAGGTATTCAGGGCAACATTCCATGGAAATAAACTCCAGTGTCAAATTCGCCATCACGTAACTTTTCCGAAGATCGATATGATGTGGACGTGTTTTTTTACTATAAATTATATGTTGCCATCAGATTACAATAGCAAGAAAATGTTTTCAAACGTATTCTAAAATACTATAGAAGGTCTAACTCATATTAACAAAATAAGGCAATTATTGTGATGGACGGTTTTCGAGGTACATAACGACAAAGACACTATCGTAGTGCATTTTGTACGGGATTATACAACCTGGCATCTTATTAATATAGATCTTTTTTCCATTTTTTGTTTTGTATTACTCACTTTTGAAAAGCAATTTACAATGACAATTTAACATATTTAAAATATCGAGAATAACGATATATATATACGCGTCCGGAGTAAAATATAATTGGTCCTGGAACATTTTACTATTTGATATACAACAAATACAACCATCAATTCTAACAAAACGTATTCAAAATTACTTTAGTTATCCGACCATCATCAGAGATGTGACTCGTATGGTCGGCTGCGCAAAACGTGTACACTCTTCCCACTTGCCAGGCTCACTGCAATAGTATTCAATAGAATAGTGTCTTTTCGGATTGGACGTAAAGATGTCGTTTCTACACATAAATATTTTTAATTAAAAAAAACACCGTTTTAAATGAAAGCACAGTGTTGAAATTAAAACATGTGTATTACATTACATGTAAACAAAAACTTTTGTATTTTCTATCAAAAAAGTAAAGATTTAGTATTTATTGAAATATGTTTGTCGGAGTATTTAAAATTAAGCACATTAAAACACACAAAAATACTTTTTCGGAATAGCGTTTAAATATCTAAAATATACTCTGGAAGTCGTAGATAAACATCATGGTATATAAGATATTGACCTAACTAGACGTAATTCAACTTGTAATGAGGTGATTATGACATTGCCTGCAGGAAATAGTTTAATGCTTTATGCTGTTACTTCTTTATTAAATTCAAATGTGGTAAGTTTATTTATTGCTGGCCTATTTGCACATATATGGTGATTAATCTCTAGTTATTACTGTAAAATACTTTATTTTAGCTGGAATTAATTTTCACTGAATAGACTTTTTGAATGTTTTGTATGGAATTTATTTTCACTGATTTTTGATGAGTTGAATGTAAAATATAGGAAAAAAGATATATTCGCTTGATTTTATTTTCACTGAATCATCCCTTCAGCGAATATAGCGAAAATTAATTCTAAGCGAAAATAAAGTATTTTACAGTATACTGGTACACCAATGATTGATTATCTGTGCAACATACACCCACACTCTTCTTTAGTAGCAGACACTGTGCCTGTGAAACAGACAAACAAATGAATAAAACCACATTGTTCCCTGCTTTTCTTTGTCATATATGCCACCCGAGTACAATTCAGGGTTAGTTTGTTTTAGGGATCTTGTATTTCTTATTCAGTATTTAAGATTCTAGTATATCAAATTCGTATACATTTGAATTATGTGTTCTGTGTTTAATTCGTGTCATATTTTATTTGGGCTATGCACTTAAAGCGTTTATAATCTGCATAAATAAGAAAATTGTATATGATGAAAACATTTATAGTCATTGTGTTTGATTGCACCATTGCATATAACACATTAAGCAAAGCGTTACCACTAAAATTACATAAAAAGTGCATACTATAACAACATAAAAGTGGTTTCACATTTTGAAGAGTATGTATTGAAAATTATGTGTTTATCATTGCAGCACTTGGAAAAGTGCTTTCACGCAAAAAACAATCTAAATATTGAAATCTGTTTCCACTGATAATATTGTGACAAATTTCGTTATTCTTTTGGAAAATATTATGACCAAATTATATGGTGTTTTAAAAGTATATTTGCCTAACCAGAATTGTTCTGTCGTGTTGCTGATGACATAAATCTAATAATTAAAATCTATAAATCTAATGATTAAATTATATAGTTAGTATCACAAAAAAACACAAATGTACCATGACATGATTTAATTGAAAAAAATATCACCTTCCAATAAAACCTGTACGTTTCATATAATAATTGTATGTGAGTAAACAACAAAAATACCAACCACAACCAAATTACATTTTAAAATCCAAGGTAGCACAGCGCAACACTGCATAAATGCACAAGAAGAAAATATTAATAACCGATAATAATAGTCGACAACGTATTTGGGTAATGAACGCTAAGTGTGGAATAATATAGGGCTGTCAAGTATGTTTATCCATATTCCGTACAAACGTTCTAATACACCGGAATTGTGGTAACACGTCACAATCGTCATGCAGCACGTATTGATACTTCACTTAAATCGAAATAGAACACATTTAAATACAAAATAAATGAGAGTATATCAATTTATAAGAGAAATTGTATTGTACAACAGCACAACACATATAAAATAGAAATTAAAAGACACCAACAATTTATTATCGAAATTCAATTGTACAAAGGCACCAAACGATTCTACTGTTCACAACATGTGCAGAGAAATAGACAAAACAAGCAGCCCGGTATCACGACATATTGTTCTGTATAGACATGCCCATTACATTTAAGGCTGTCATAACTTTTCTGATAACTCTGATGAAAGTCTACTTATTATATTATCTACGTAAATATTTGATTGTTCATGTCATTTTGAATAATTGTGCATTCTATTACGTTATTTTGCGGTTGCAGTGAATCGACACGTGGCTCTCCACTTTTGCAGTGCGCCCTCATATCTATTTC